CATTCTCTATTTTCCCTCTACCTCTATTCATGTGAGGGAGAGGATGAATCTTCTAAAAGGTAAGTTCAAAATTCAAAATTTTAAAAAATAATTTGAGGAAGTAGATGTTTAATATGGACGATTAGTGTTATCTAATGAGCTCAAAACCTTGATTTTACTTAATATGGTCGATTTGTGTAAATTAGGCTTTTTCATCGCATGGAGCCCTTGTTTGCTTCTTCACATGCTCATGCTTGAAACTAGCCTTGAACAAGAGCCTGACAATAAAGAATCTATCTCCAATTTTAGTTGTCAATTTAACATTGTGAGGAAGAAGAGCCAAAAGTTTCCAATTGAACCCTAATTTTTAGCTCTAATGTGAGAAAGCCCTTCTTTCAGTAATTTGAATGATCTTAATTACAGCCACGTTGGTAGCCACGTCGACGGCACATGAGGATCACGTGACTCAATTTGGCCAGAATTTTGGCTCCCGCAAAAATATAGGCTCATTGTCATCGTAGTCTACATAGTGCACCAAATTATTGCTGGAGCAAGAAAATATACCAATTTATCACATAGGGTCAACAAAAGATACCAATCTAGTAATTTTGTCGTCATTCTAAACTCTGACGTATCTATACATATCGATTTTTTTCATAAGTTTTGAAAACTTGACAAAGATATATATACATATTTCTTAAATTTGATTTAAATATGTGTCATATCATAATAAATTTCATTTTAGTGTAGCAAAATTTAGAAGTTATGGTAAAAATTGAGAGATAATTTTATATTCTAACATTGAAGGCATAATTAAGAATTTTATAAAAATAGATATTTATAGCATTGTTTGCTCTATAAAAATTCTCCGTAGCAAAGGGTGGGTTATTGGTTGGGACAAGTTGGGTCAAGTCAGATAATTATTCTAAAGGGAACAATTTTATCCCTTTATATATAGGATATTTTGAGTAGGGTAAAACGTAGGACAAGTTGGGATAATAAGGTAATTTGAAGCTTTGATTTGACAATTCACGTGGAATAATTGATGATGTGGTAAATTATTAAAATATAATATTTATTTATGGATTAACTATAAATTACTTTATCCAATTTATTGTAGTATATTATTCAGTATGTAATTATAATATAATACATTATTTTACTTTATACTAAAATATAATATGTTATATTATAATTACTAATTAATTATAACTATGTTTAATGCTATTAACTAATATATTATATTTTATTATAATAATATAATAATATATAATATAGGAACAATATATTTAATATAATATTTCAATTATATAATATCTAATTTAATATTAAATATAAATATTATAATATTATGTTTTATTTAATAAAATATTATTATTAAAAATATAATATTATATTTTATGACTTACTATAATTTAAATGGGATAATTAATGACATGGTCCTTATTAAAATATAATATTTATAATAATCGTAATATACTACTAATATGTCCAATATTATTAATTAGTACATTATGTTATAATTTTATATATAATATCATACTTTAATGTATAGTAGATTATTACTATTTTTATTTTAGCAATAAAATATTATTTATTGATGCCAGTTATCAAACATGAGGTTTCGTTGTGGATTAAAGCAGTTAGGGTCATCAAACTCTTTCAGATGACTGGCTCTATAAATCGTTGTTCTTCCCTGCACATGAAGAGCTCATGAGAGACAGAAGTTGGGTTCTCTAGTTGTTCCTCAAATGATCAAGCCAACATTTGAACTTGAGTGGGAAAATATAAGAGAAATGTTGATAGGAATCGTTCAAAGTTGCATGATAGCAAAAGAAGTTACCTCATGCAACTTTTTATAGTAGATCGGAGAAGTATGAAGAGGTAACTGTGGCCGAGTCTAGCTAGGCAGGCATCTGTACTGCCGACAGATGTCTTCACAGGGTCGGCCTGCTAAGTTGGGTGAGTCATCCTTGATTGGAGTGAGGAGTATCGAGGGGGTTGTGTGAGTGATGAGCAATGCGGACTCGTCGGACACACGGCGATGAGGAGGGGCACTGTTTGTGTGGAGTTTGAGGACCCCGCCTCTTAACTCAGTTCTAGCGAGTGAGACGACAAGCGACCGCTTTCCGAGTCAGCCATGCAAGTTGTCGGCTTAAGTCGGCTGTAGTAGTGGTTCGAGTTGTCTGAGCTCTGATCTTGTCTGATCTGGCATAGAGTGGGATGTGTGTTGACAACTCAAAAAAGATTAACACTCAGTTATTTGCAGGCTATAACATTATTTAATACTATAACTGCTACAATATTGACAATATATTTAAGACTATTGGTTAATATAATAAAGTGTAATAGGAAATAGTAAATTACTATATAAATTAAATATTCTATATAATAGAATATATTATCATATTAAATTATATTATAATATAATAATTTATTATTATATTAAATATAAACACTAAATTATAATATAATATTTTATATCGTAAAATGTTACAATAATATTTTTATTCTAACTAACAGAATATATATTAAATAATATAAAGTAATATTATAATAATATAATAGTAATATATAATATATGAAATACTATTAACTAATATGTAATAATGATATATAATAATGTTATATTAGATAATATTATATAATTTTCTACTATCTTATGTTATAGTATAATTTTATAGTATAATTTAATTAAGATGTATTATATATTATAATATAATTAACATATATTAGATATTTAATAAGTTAATGCTTCAAAATTATCCCACTTTCCTGGAATTGTCCCAGAGTTAAGAATGGAATAATTTTTGGAGGTGGGGATAAAAAGTTTGCATAGAAGTGGGATAATTTTGGAAAGGTGGAGGTAATTGTCTATTTTTAGGGTTCCTCCCTTCTCATGAACTTATAATGCTTTCAATCCTGAAGAAATTCCTAGTTGTTGCTTCTTCATCCGTTCTCATATATTTATTATTTGTTTGCCTCTTGTATGTGATTAGCTAGGGTTAGGATTTGCATGGCTACTATGTACCAAACATGAGCACCATATCGTGTTGACTAGATCTTGCATTTTAACTTATACGGTCTACAAAAGGGGTAAACAAGGATGAGTTGCCTCATATTTTTCCAAAGTTTTCTTGAACTCAATTAGGAAGAAGAAGAAAGTATTGTTTAATGCCCAAAGTTCAAGAAAGATGTGGTAAAACATGGTAAAGCTAATTAAGAAGTATATTGTGTAGATTGTGGTACCATTGTCTACCATGTATAAGCTCAACCCTTAGGTACCATTTGGCTCCTAATGGGACAAGGTGTTAAATTGAGACTATGATTAGGTGGGATTGGGATTAAAAGTCTCAATACTATGTTTGGTTCCATGTTCAATATCCTTGGGATTATGATGCTCAAAATCCCACTCTCATGTTTGGTTAGTCTGAAATTGGGACTAACAAATATTGTTCTGAAACTGGGATTAACATGAATTGTATTTACCTTTTTTAAAATTGCAATAGCACTTATAATTATAATTTTTTTGTGAACTAACACAACCTTTTGAGCATGACATATCACATATATTCATCACATCGCCTATTCGTAATTCAAAATATTGTTGTAATAGAGAAACAATAAATAATAAGTAGTTTCTTCTTCCAAGAACCTCAATACACATGATAAAAAGGTTAATCAACTAGAAAATAAAGAAACAACCAACAAGATAACAATATAACAACTTTTTGAGGAAGCAACAATATAACAACTTGTTTCAAGAGCCTTGCACCCAATCAAAACATCTACATAATCTGAGTTACACCTGAGAGAGTATTAAAAATATATCTTACAATATTCAACATAGAAATAAAAAAAGTATGTCCTTGTACATGTCCATCATTTAGCATAAAACTGCTCTATTTTGGCATCAAGACTTGGCAAAACTATATCATCACTAAACTATAACAATATAACAACTTTTTGAGGAAGCAACAATATAACTTGTTTCAAGAACCTTGCATCTAATCAAAACATCCACATAATCCGAGTTACACCTGAGAGAGTATTAAAAATATATCTTACAATATTCAACATAGAAATAAAAAAAGTATGTCCTTGTGTCCATCATTTAGCATAAAGCTGCTCTATTTTGGCATCAAGACCTGGCAAAACTATATCATCACTAAACTCTGACATCGACATTCTCCCACATGAAACCATGAAGTATTGTTACTTTTCAATTGAATCATTTAGCATGAAGCTGCTCCATTTGGCAACAAGACTTGGCAAATCTATATCATCACTAAACCCTGACGTCAACATTCCCGTACATGAAACCATAAAATATTGTTACTTCTCCATTGAAAATTCTATACATATACCCATTTGAAGCGTAAAACAATCAGGTAAAGAGAAATAAAAATGAAATCTTTATGACATAAACTCATCAAGGAAAATCCAAGGCAAGCTATAATTAGTTATACCATTTCAACTTATCATTACCCTAATTAATAGAAAATATAAGTTCACACAAGCAGGTAATGATCAGTAATAGTAAAATCCACAAAACTATAATTACCAAGATATTATGCTTAATAATGAATGCAAAATAATAGAAATAATAAAAATTATCACTCACAAGCTTACCTTCTAGTCTTCTGAATCACTCAACCTTTAATTTTCAATCTACCCTCTGAAACACAAACGGAAATTATATTATTTACGCAAAGAATGTCATAATTCATGTTTTTAGCAAATAATGAATCATGAAGAATGTCATAATTACCAAATCCAATATGAAAACTAAAATATTCCCAAAAGGAGTTTCAAACTCTAGTATCAATAACACAATTACCTACATTGATCATCCAGTACCTGCAGCGCAAAAATTCCCCTCATCTTCACTATTGGCAAACTTAAAAAAAGCTCAACCCACTCTTCCTTCACTACAAGCTTCCCACAAACTATAACTTTTGCTTCATCAGTCAGGAAGTCATCTTCATGACTTCTTTAACAACATCCGTCCTCTTCTTCGATAACTTAGAAACTCTTGAAGAAAGTTGTATGGCCGACTTCTCAATGCTATGGCCAATAATAGTAGCGGCGCTTTCCAACTCTTCATTTCCATCACCCTTCTTGATCCTCCTCTTCTTACATGAGCCACATGTGATAGAGGCTGATGTTAGCTTGACTCGGTCATGGATGACCAAATCAACAACGGTTTCTCAGTAGAGAGAATCGTGGAGAATGTGAATTGGGGTTTGTTGAGAGATTTTCTCTCAGAGGCAGTTTGAGGGGGGTGGAGATGATGGGATTTCGGCCTATAAATAGAGGAGTAATCTACTTGAGAAAACACAACGAAAAAGAAAAATCAAGCCCTTTACCCATTACCGGAGCCCCCCTCAAAGATATCATCTTTCTTCTTCTCTGTGTTTCATTCACTGGTATCAGAGCTCGACGATTCTACTGCGACGACGACTGCTACAATCGCTCGACTGCTGCTGCAACAACGACTCTGTGATCTGATTTAAAAAAAAACAATCACTCTCTCCATTTTTCTAGTTCCTGAAGAAGAAGCACTCTATTGAAGAAGAAGCACTCTGTTGAAGAAGAAGAAGAAGGAAAGGAAGCATTCATAATCCTTTGGTCGTAGCCTTGTCTCAAAGTTCAAAGTCACTGTACTTTTTTTGAAGAAGAGATTCCCTTTGTTGAGGTCTGCCAACGAATTTTTTTTTGCCTTAAAGCTGATAGCCAACTCTTTACAGCTAGCCTCCTCAAGTCTTGTCACATCTCTTTTTTTTAATTTGTTGAGACTACACCCTTTTGTTTTTCGGTCCTACATCCAATCTACAACCAAGCCGGACTTAGACTTGTTCCTAGTCTTATGACCCTACTCCTATCACGTGTCATAACCTACTCCTAGCACGTGTACTACCCACTTGATCATCTTCAAGGCCTACTCGTGATCTACCTGTTCAAATTCAAGATTAAAGCCCACGGGTCCCACTGCCTCAGCATTTGAAGAAGGTGACTTGCTCTCAAGACGTCAAAGCTTCGACAACAGATTCTTCGGTCAACAGCGCTAAGTGACAAACTAGCTCAAATTGGAGCCTCTTTCATCAGCTCGCAAAAATCAGGCTCATTTTAATCTATTTATTTATTTATCTATTTTTTTGTGTATTTGTCAAAATATCAACCTTATACAAATTTAAATTGAATTTAGTTTTAGTTCTCTACCGAATGGCTAGTAAACTCATTCTATCAGAACTAGGAAAAATTGACAAATTCAATGGCAGTAATTATGATATGTGGCATAGAAAAATAGGGTATGCTCTTATTCATGACAATATTGATGATATAATCAAAACCACTGCTCCAACCCTTACTGATAAATCTACACTTGAAGAAAAGAAATGGTTTGAACAGTGAAAGTCGAAAAGACAAAAAGGCGAAAAGTCTTATGCTCATGTTCATGGAAGATAATTTAATCAAAGTTTTTGAAACTTATAAAACTTCCATGGACATGTGGAATGCAATAAAAGAAAAATATGACACTGCTTCTGAAGTTAACATCCAACTACTCTTGCATAAGTATAATTCTTGTCGTATGCAAGAGGGAGACAATGTCGTAGAGCATATAAATAAAATGATTGTCATGGCTAAGGACTTATCCACTGCTCGGACCGAAATCCCGGAAAGAATGCAAGTGGCAACCATTTTGAATAGTCTTCCCCCTTCACTTGCCGTGGCTACCACCACTTTAAGAATGAATCATGCCATTAAGTCTGTCACTGATCTTCCTATGCACCTAGCGATAAAACATGACTTAATAGCCAGTAGGAAAGAACCAGAACTGAATATGGTGCAGCAAGAGCTGAATTATGTCCACCAGAGGCATAATGCTGGAAGCTATAAAAATCTTGATTCTAGTAAACCACAACCACGAGGACCGAAATCGTAGCAGTTCAAGAGAAAGAAAGTATCCCGCGGAGCCTACTACAATTGTGGAAAGTTCGGGCATTTCAAACCCAATTGCCCACAAGGTGAAAAGCAGGAGAATAAGGGAGGCTATAAACATCCAGAACAATGGGGTACTAGCAAAAGAGAATTCGTCGGTGTGACGGAATGTAATACTGTGATGACGGATATCAGTGGTTAGATCGACTCCGGTGCGACTAGGCATATCGCAAAGGATAAGAATGGAGTCGTAGAATTCACCGAGCTGAAAAAAAGAGAACAGAGAATCTATATGGGAAATAATACCTATCTCGATGTAGAAGGTATTGGTTCGTATAGATTGGATCTTGGGGACAGCATTCTTGTCCTCAAAGATGTGTTCAATACGCCAGGAATTAGACGCAATCTGATCTCTGTTCCCAGCTTGATGAAAAAAGGACTGGAAGTGAGGTTCTATAATAACAGGGTTTCTATAGGCAAGAATAATAAAGTGTATGCTATAGGTAAATATGTACCCGAGCATGAATTATGCATTCTTCCAGTAGTTTGTAATAATTCTGATAATAAAATTTCGAATTTGAACTACTTGTCTTGTTATATTTTTGAATCTGAATTGTGGCATTCTAGACTAAGACATGCTAGTATTTCAAAAATGAAAGAAATTATCAGAATGAACTTGCTTCCTGCACCATCTAATGTTCAATTGTCACCATGTGAACATTGTTTAACTGGTAAAATGACTAGAAAACCTTTATTGGCGGACATAGAGCCAATGAACTTTTAGGGTTGATACACTCGGATATTTGTGGTCCCCTAAGTATCAAAACTCATAAATAAAGAATATTTTATTACTTTTATAGATGATTATTCTAAGTTTACACACGTCTATCTTATATCCAGAAAATTAGAAGCTTTTGACTGCTTTAAGAGATATAAGACAGAAGTTGAAAACCAACTTGGATTGAAAATCAAAACTCTGAGAACTGATAGAGGTGGAGAATATAATTCTAAAGAATTTGAAAGTTATTGTATTCAGCATGGAATTAAAAGGCATACGACAATGCCGTATACGCCACAACAGAATGGTGTTGCTGAAAGAAAGAACAGAACATTATTAAATGTAGTTAGATGTATGTTGTCTCATTCTGGTCTCTCTAAAAACTTTTGGGGAGAAGCATTGTTAACTGCAAACTACATTTTAAATAGAATTCCCACCAAATCAGTTGTATCTACACCTTATGAATTATGGAATGGGAGGAAACCTAATTTGAGTCATCTCAGGAAGTGGGGATCTATAGCCCATGTTCTCATTCCATGTCAACTTAGAGATAAGTTGGATTTTAAAACAATAAAGTGTAGATTCATAGGGTATTTAGAAAAGTTAAAATGTTATAAGTTCTACAATAAAGAAAAAGGAGTCATTGAAAGCAGAGATGCTACATTTCTAGAGAATCTAGAGGAAGAGGAACAAGTTCAAGAGGAAACAGAACCTCTAACTGTAATAGATGATGATTATTACAGTGTTTTTCCCACTAATGACCCTAATATTGTGAATGAACCTAACCTTGAAAATGATAAAATACCTATGGAAAATAATGTACCTAATCAACCGGTTGTAGGCAACAAAAGGCCAAGAACACAACCTTCATGGATGGATGATTACTATTTGTATTCATGTGAGTCATCCTGTTTTTCGGTAGATACAAATATAGAAGAATAAGATCCCTTAACCTTTTCTAATGCGATGAAATCGCATGAATCAGCTTTATGGTTAGAATCTATGAGAGAAGAACTTGATTCCATAGAAAAGAACAAGGTATGGGAGTTATGTGATCTACCAGAAAATAGAAAAGCCATAGGATGCAAATGGGTGCTCAAAAAGAAATATCGTGTTGATGGATCTATTGATAAATTCAAAGCACGGTTAGTTGCCAAAGGTTATAACCAGAAGGCAGGAATATATTTTCAGGAGACATATTCTCCTGTAGCTAAATTTGCATCCATTAGAATTATTTTGGTTATTGTTGCATATCTTGATTTGGAGTTATTCCAAATGAATGTTAAAACTGCATTCCTTAACGGAGAGTTGAAGGAAGCAATATATATGTAACAACCTGAAGGTTTTCAGGTGAAAGAACAGGAACATAAAGTTTACAAATTAATGAAATCTCTATATGGTTTAAAACAGTCTTCTAGACAATGGTATCTCAAATTTCATGATGCGGTCACTAAACTTGGTTTTATTCAAAATAAATTAGATAATTGTGTATATGTATTGAAAAGTGGGAGCAAGTTTACTATATTATCATTATATGTGGATGATATATTGCTCGCTGGAAATGACATGGAAATGTTGAATAAAATCAAAGCAGATCTCAGCGAAAAATTTGAGATGAAAGACATAGGAGATGCATCATATATTCTTAGAATTCAAATAATTCGAGATAGAAAGTCTAGAATGCTAAGTTTAAACCAAGAAAAATATTTAAGATCAGTTCTTAAAAGGTTTGGAATGGAGACTTCCAATCTGGCACCAACTCCGTTGGTTATGGGAAAGAGATTATGTAAAGAGCAAAGCCCTGGAGAGAGGCAGAAACCATTAGATGTTCCTTATGCTCAAGCAATTGGAAGCTTGATGTATGCAATGTTGTGCACCAGACCTGATATAGCTTATGCTGTGAGTCTAGTCAATAGATATCAAAGTAATCCAGGACCAGCACATTGGGAAGCTGTTAAAAGGATTATGAAGTATATCAGAGGTACATTGACTCATAGATTAGTTTATCAAGCTGATTCGCTTGAACTCCTCGGTTATTCCGATGCTGATTTCGGAGGTGATAAAGATGATGGAAAGTCCACTTCGGGACACTTATTTATCTTTGGAGGAGGAGCTGTTTCTTGGAGTAGCAAGAAACAAAAGTGTGTTGCTAGATATACGCAAGAAGCTGAATATATAGCTTGCAGTATGGCAACTACACATGCTGTCAAACCTTTAAATATGTATCCCAAACGTCATCAGAAGCAACAAGCATCCCGGTATTTGGTTCCATTCCAAATCCACTAGTTGATGTCCCAGCAAGCATATCATGGACAACTGCAAACTCCCTCCCAAGCATTTTACAGTACCGTAAATCGATGTGGGGTTTTGCTTGAATGTTAGATGCCGGGCATTGTTGACCCAACACCTCTTCTAGCTTGAGACTCCACCCGAGTTTGAATCCCTTCTCTGCCTTATAACTTATAAGTACCACTATTGGTGAGGTCAAGTAAGGCGTCAATCAATTATATATCCTCTTGTGGTGTCCATGTCCTTTTCTTTTCCTTTTCAATAGCTTGAGCTGACTTCATTCTGAAAATGAGAAGCACACATACATGTTATCGACACGTAATAAATGCACACAAGGGCAAGGGATAAGTCAACGGATCATGAACGTAAAAGTAGAAGAAATACACGAAAAGGAACAATAACAAAGCACTTGCATAATTATTCAAATTATATGTTTGGCAATCTTCTGGATATAAAAAGCAAAACCTTTGAAACCCCCTAACAATATTTTTTCAAATTCTTGGGAGTAGCCTTTAGAAGATAATAAGTAGTTTGTGTAGTACATGAGTAAGGTTCATGTC